CTCGTTTTGTTCCTTTTCGTTTCTAAATATCAACCCCCCTCGCTGCCCCGAAGGAATACTGGCTAATGGAAAGGCTCTCGTGGAGCCTCTTTGGTGGTGTCGTTGACGCGCACACCAACATTTGTCCGTGAAAATAAGGCCGGTTAAATGAGGCCAGGTATAAGTCGAAAGCAAAAATTGTCTCGGTCTCCACCGTCCTTTTCGGTTTATGTCTTTTATTTACCTGATTATCATATTTTCTATGGTAAAAAGGCAAACCTGTCCCCCCTGATATCTATATTTTGTACTTTGTAGTATGTGTGCCGACCGCTCCCCTAAGTAGATATTTACTGATGACGCACTTGTGGATGTAGCCCTCTCTTCTAATCCGAGCAGGTCCGCCTTACTCAGTGATCGCTGGTTTTTGCCTTTGTATGCGTACTGCATGGCAGGGGGCTCCATTTTGGATGTGCGGACTTCTGTCGCAGTGGGCGGCCCAGCCTGTTGTGGGCGTAAAACGTAAAAGCGTGTCGGTGTCCTTTAAAGAGGAGGGCTGTTGAGGTCTTCCGCCAGCCCCCGATTTTGTAAAGTTTACAGAATTGCCAATTGTGGACTTCATGCAGGTATCTCACGTTATTCCAATAATGAGGGCAAACTCTGGTTTAGCCCAGGCTACTGTAAAGCCTTTTACAGGCACCCCAACTCCCCTTCGTGAAAAAATCTCCATTTGTGTCGCTTAATGTTTACTAAGGGAAGTGGAGCAACGTGATGATCCTAACAGTCGTTACCTGTGACAGAGTTTGTAACCTGCATGCGACATCTCTGCCAGTGTTTTATTCTCGTCCTTTCATAAACGGGCCTTTCCCCTGGCATGCTGTTTTCCATCCCCTCTCCCTCGCTTCCTCCCTTCCTCGGTGCCTACGTCTAGCATTGCGCTTTAACATAGGGGTCATTTTTAATGACCTTAAGTTTATGACCTATCTTCAAAAATTTACTAGAAACCCTTAAAATTTGTAGGCAACTCGCAAAAAAGAGGCATGCTTGACCCTTTTAACGTAACGAGATCTGATCCTTTGGGATTTAGTTTCGATTATGAAACAGAAAATTTGTTTTCGGTCTGAACTTTTTTCGTGTTACAAATAGAAGACTTGTCTCTTTGATGAATACAAGCACGTATTATTTTACTTTATGCATCAAAGCTTGGAATACTTAAAAACTCCATGACCTGCTGAAAGCGTTACGCCTGTGTATCTTTCCTGCGGCTGCATAACGTCGGCAAAACCCTTCCTACTAAGTTCTGATTCCCGGTATTTCTGAGTACTTTCTCGACCGAACTAAGTAAGTAGGAAATACTTTGGTATCAGTATCAGTTTGTTGAGGGATATGTAGGTTAATTACCTTTGAGTTCCCTATTTGTACATGTGTATCGTGGTAGCGAAAAAATTGTATCTCAGATTGTTGGCGAGGCCAGTTGTCCTGAGTCATGGGGTGGGAAAAAAGTTAGCAGACAGTAAAAAAAACTCCTCTTGTGGGGGGGGGAGTTTAAGAGAAAAAAGAGCGTCCGATCTTGGGGTGATCCAATAGTAGTCAAGTGTTAGCGAGGCATTTCGTGTCTAAACTCCCACTGGTATCCTATGCACAAACTTGCTTAAACTGCTGTTTGATTTACAATTTTCGAGTTAATCGAGGGCAACCCAGTCGTGCTAAACACACTTGTTCGTTGTTACGTCTTTCTGATCGGATACGGAGCTAACAACTTTCTACCAGTATGCTTCTTAGATCCTTATCCCAGATTTGAGTCATTCCATTTTTTTGAAGAAAAGCTATCCAGCTACTTTAACTGCTTTCCTGAGCGCAAATTCATGCCAGTCTTTGCCACCATCTGCGTTTAGATAACCTGGCCTATGTGCGTTCACCGGAGGGTTCGCTGTTCAGTCTCATGTCTCACGAGGCCACCACGAGCGCAGCCAACGCTGCAGCAGCCCTACTTGAGGTGATCCGAATCCACGAGTTGCGACTTCCACCCAACCGGTTTCCCCTCTCGTCCGCCGAACTGACCGGCGTCGTCCGGATGGCTCTCCTACCAGTCAGTTCAAACGCTGTGCCCTACTCCCAACAGACCGTATCCCAGCGTCAGACTAACGAACGTGCTGTGGATACTGCTATGAAGTTACTGGAAGTGGCTAAGAAGCACACCGTCTTCTCGGATGTAGGCGCCCTCGAGCTGGCACGGATCATATGGCAGACCAGTGGGGACGAAATTTCGTGAGTTTGTTTATTTCAAGTTGTCTCTTTGGGTCCTCGAAACTTGGTAGCCTTATTGCCCCTTTTGTGTTGGATGAGCCAGTGGTGACATCGATGTAAGACTGCCTGTGTTTGTAAAGCTAGGTGTTGAGAGAATGCCTAACTGGCCAAGCTCGTCTCCAGTGCTCTTTCTTCAGTCTTGTCATTGGAATAGGCTTTTTTTGCCTGCAACGAGATGCGCTGAAGACGTCCTGGATCGAAGCGCGGAGAGGGAGATTCAGAGTGGCTAAGGGCGCGTATTTATCGCACAATCCCTGTGTGCCAATAATTACTGCCGTATATGCTTGTGGCATGTCTTATTTACAGACATTCACGTCCCGTCAGCCATTGCACCACCCAATCCAGTCGCCAGTTGGTTGACATACTCGAAAGGTAGGATGGAACCGAGGTTACCGAATCTGCACATTCCTTACTAGAATAAATCTAACAAACTTAAATTTATCCTAATTCGGCAAGCCTGATGGCTTGGAAGATTGTTAACTGGTGGCATAATTCGGTCCTTTGCAATTATATCTTTATGGTGCTCTCGCTGATGTGATCCCAGTTACCCCTTTTACTGTAATCTGCTTCGATTTTATTTACTTGCCCCTCTTTTGATTAGCCTGCTGATGAGTTCTTCTCGAAGGCCAAATAAGTGGTTCTTAGGCGCCCACGAAGTGACCTGTTGCATCTCGGGCATTGGAGCAGAGACCGCTAAACAGACACTCG